AGAACTTGCTTGTGTGAATCAGACACTTATATGTACCAATTCTCTGAGATTTGTCTAATTGCTTCATGCAGCTTCAAAGGTCTAACCTGTTGATCTATCAAATTCGATTTCTTTGACAAACGAATCTGATGGTAAGGTATTTAGCTCTTAAAGGTTGAACCCCAACCTTGGGACCCCCACGACCCCAGCCCTGAAGCATCGTGATGGAGGTAAATCGTGGGATGTGCCCTAACAGGCCAGGAAACAAAAGCTTACATGTACACTAATACCCACAAAGAGTCCAATTCCATATTTCAGGAATCGAACTCTCACACTGTGATTGCCAACAAGGTTGAAACTTCTTCACTCCTATCATTTGCACCACTGGGATATGCCTTGGAGGCGATAAGGTATTTAACTCTTTCTTTGTTTTGATTTAGTTCAGCAAGAAACTCCACAACTAGATTTTCTTTTTCTACCAAGACTCTGGTGTGAGTGTCCTTTTCAACAAGAAAATCTCGATCAAGAAAGGAAGAAAGACTTACGAGAGAGAGAAGCTCATGGCTCGAGCTCAACTTGGCCCTTGAGCTCGAGAAGTTCGAGCCAAGCGAGCTCCGTTCAACCCATTTCCGCTTGTAATTGAAGGTTTACTTTGGCGTGGAGCAACATCTGTCACAACTCTACTTCTGCACCATACATATATATACTGACTACTGCATTTTTTATTTTTTATTTTAACTAATACTAATAAATTATTCTCAACCCACATTTTGTTCAATATTAAATTGTAAATAAAAATGCAATTAAAAAATTTATTTATAAGTAAAAAATTATGTAAAATATAAAATTCTAATTTTGTATAAAATAAAATAAAAACTGCTTATAAAGGGGAAAAAAATACTAGTAAAGATAAAAATTCAATTATAAAATAAAAAACTTACTTATAAGTAAAAAAAGTTACATGTATAAAAAATTAGTTATTAGTATAAATAATTTATAAATGTTTACTTTTTAAGTTCAATAACTTTTATGTAAAAAAAATTCCTTATAAATAAATATTATTTATGAATAAAAAAATAAAACTATAAATTGAAAAATTCACCAAGGAGCATATATGTAATTTTATTCTCTTAAAAAACTTTCAAACCTGCTGAATATTAAACTTCCAAGCACTGATTCGTCTGTTTCAAAATTGCCATTAAAAATCAAATCTCTCATAAAAGCCCAAAATCAGTTAAAAACAAAAAATAAATAACCGGTACCCAAAACTTCCAGGCGGCCCTAAATGAAATTTAATTATACCATTCCTTACCTTGAATCTGAACAAAACAGGGAAATATTACTTATAAGTGACAAGTTCAAACTTCAATCATTTACATTTAGAGTTCTACATGAATTATATTCACCATTTTGTTGAGTAGCATTTAGTAGCGCCAACCAAGTAAGGTCGAAAGGTTCTCATGACTTCCTCGTACGTTGGCCTTTTGTAGTCCACCGCCTGCCACAATCATCCCGTACACAGATTAGGTTTTGGGAAACATGTATACGAAATCTAGGGGCATTTCAGAATACCTGCTCAGTGACTTCTTCAGGAGTGGCCCATTTCCATTCCGAGAATTCTGGGTCTGTTTCGACGTTTGCTAAGTTGATTTCCCTTTCATCTTTTGTCAATCTCATAAGAAACCTGCCATGAATTGCTTCAATCATTCATCGTATTCAATCTTTAAGCTCGTGAGATCCAAAAGATGATGAGATATTGATGACATTCAAAACGTATTTTAATGAGTACAAATAATGTAGTCATTATGTAAAAATCTATCAGCATTCAGTTGATGCATCGCCTAGGATTCTGAAATTCTGGCACTCTTTTCAAATTCTCCTGATACTATTTTACTCTTCTTAGGCAACGGCTAAGCTATCTATATCCCAATCTAACTTTCTCTACTAATCATGGTTTCGTTGGAATGTAGAAAAGTTTGAGTTAAGCCATTTGTCCATCAATTTTGTACCTCACTTTTGACATTATCCAAGTTGGCATGATGTGATTGGTGAAAAAAATTGTTTATTTCTTTTAAACTGTCCAATGGCATGTTGCCAAGTGGCACAATGAAAAAATGTGAAGTAAAAAGTAACATACATGTAGCATGATTGAAAGAAGTAAAACTCTAGAAATTGAAGTCAAGGGCAGGAGAAACAATAGAATCAAAAAGTGAAAAGGAAAAGACGAATATATTTGCAAAGCTAATTGCTGGACTTCATATCATTTTGCAAGTAGTCAATCAGACTGAGTCTCCTAACTATATTAAACATCAGAAATTCTGAAAGGGAAAAAAAATCTGTGCATAACATTTACCATTTTTGTGCCTGTCCATGCCATTCTCCTCCCCAAAGACGGTTCACTTTGGCTTTCACAGCAGGAGGGAAATCATAGCTTAACCAATTTGGTACCTGATAATTTACAGCAAATTTTCAATATAAATGCACAAAATCAAAGACGATCAGCATTTAAAAAAACACGGAATCAAATATTTTTGTTGGAGAAAAACCAAGTGTCACGATATATATATGTTAACATATAAAATATTTTGGAGGTACCCGTTAAACAAAAATGGGAATTTCATAAACTATCATATCGGACAACCTCAGCAATTATTTCAGCAGACACCACTCCAGTTTCTTCTCTCAATTCTCTAATTGCAGCAGATCTCGGATCCTCACCATCTTCAATCCCCCCCTGCATATAGAAAATTGAAAAGCAACTGCATAAGATTGAAGAATAAGCAAATTATTCCAAACAAATGAAACACATGGTCAATTAAATGTTCTGAACACCAAACATTGAAGATAGATGAATATTTGGCAGTACTTGGTACTGATTTTTAACCCTTGATGCCCATCCCACCTACAATTCTCCATACTATTAGGTTGAAACAGGAAGTAGGATATGTTACATTTCCATTTGAACTTTCTACATTTTTTTTTCCGAGCTCAAATTTAAACCCATTTCATCCCGAAATAACATTAGTCTACCCAGCTTGATGAAACCTGCGGAAACAAGTAAAAGTTTTGTGATTGCTTCTCAGAAGTTTGGATCATTACTTAAAAGGCAATTGCCTCCTCTTTCATATATCTAAATTCGACCATCAAAGGTTTCATGTAATAAGGCTTAGATAATAGTGACAAATTTTATACACGATATCAGTCGAACCAATAGCATTGAAGGGGGGAAATTATGGCAGCATCACCTGAGGCATCTGCCATGCACCAGGAACATTCAATCTGGATGCAACAAAGACCTGAAAGCAAATTGCAAAAAATTATCGTCTTTCCTTGAATCCACCCATTAACACTGTCATTTTAAGAAAATAAACACTTCATCCAAACTTATTTACCATCAACTTTCATCAGTTGGTGGCCTGGAATTCAATGTTATTTACTACATTCTAGACCCCTTAAAAATTTCTAAGATTAGAGAAAATTGCAATGAAAGAAACTGATCATAATCTAAAAGCAGCAGTAACATATACATGCAATATTTCGCCTTCAGCGGTATGTTACGTGATCAGAGATAAGTCCTTCAAGTTAACTACATACTTCGACAGCTTGATAACATAATTACAAAATCACAATATTTTGGCCACAATAAATGCAAAAAATAAAAAGACAAATCAATTACATGGGGATGCCTGTTAGTCCTGCATTAAATAAGTCAACTCCACACCTTCCAGTGATGTCCACTTCAATTTAAAAACAACCGGGACAACACTTAACGTACAATTGCAGGCATCTTTCCTGCAAAATAGTTACGTACAATGACAAGCTCACATGCAAACACACTCTATATTTCCTCGTATACCTTCGCATCCAGCTAACTGTAATGCTTAAGCAGCAAAATTATATCCCTCCTACCTTAATACTTCTTATAATCATCATAAAATTTGATATCCCATTAATGTCCTTGAGTAGATCAAAAAGATTGTGGACTCGTTCACAAAAAACTCGATAAGTTATAGCTTATTAGTCTACTGGTTTTTATATCTTTCACTAATCCAGAAATGTATAGAAATAATGAAGATCCATTCGCATCCACCATTCAAATCTACTGCAATTTATTTGCTCAAAAAGCAACAAAGAGACAATACCATTCACAAAAATACTAAATACAACAGTATGAAATTCTACTCAATCCTAGTTATATACCATAATTGTGCAGTGAAAAAAAAAAAATCCAATCAAAAGGTCCATGATCTAATGAATAAGATAAGCCTATTATCAGGCCCTCAAAATACAACATCCAAAATCCGGGTGGGTTCAGAGCTTTAAAAAATAAAAAATTAGCCCTCAAATAATTATTGCCACCACAACAGCCAAAATTAAAAGTTAAGTTTTACAGGAGAAATTAAACAATAAGACAATTTTCTGACAGTCAAATTGTTATCCACAAAAAAAAAGAAAAAGGAAAGAAAGTAAAAAAAGAAAAAAGAAAAAAGAAGAAGATAAAAATATGATAATTAAAAAGAAAAATCATAATCATAATTTAAGGGTTTATGCTTCGAAACAGGAGAAGAATTAATGGGAAAATTATGTCTATTTCTGCTCTCAAATTATTATAACCACATAAATCTCAGAAAGAAATACGAAAAATTAAAAACAAAAATGAATACTTTATGCGCTGAAATGATTGAAGAATTAGTAGGGAATACAGGGTTTTTTTACCATATTATGATCATTGATTAGACAGATCCCAACGTTGGGACGATAACCAGAGGGCAGACCATCCATTGATCTGATTTTCTTGAAAGAGAAGAAGAGAGTCAGAGAGATGAAAAAACTTGAACGAAAAAAGAAAGAATTTTCTTTATAGATGCAAATCACAATCGGAAAATCACTTTAGCAGAAAGTCAAACATATTTCTTATGCGATCTAGAAAGTCAAACATATTTCTTATGCGATCTAGAGTACATATCTGTGGGGCGAGTAGAAGACTTTTGGGTTTTTGTGGGCGCCTATCGTGCTCTGATTAGTATACAAACAAAATGAGCACCGAATTGTAAATTTTGTCTTCCGCGTGATTGGGAGGTAGAAAAGGTCATATTCACGTGGGTAATCAGTACAAAAAAATCCTCACTTTTTAATATTATTGTGTAAAATATTCTTATTTTTCATTTTTTGACATTTTCATCCCTACATTTCACCTTTCATTACGCAAAAGGTTATTTTCATCTATTTTTTTTATAAAATAATGATTTTACCCTCCTATTTAAAGAAAATAAAAAGAAAAGAAAAATAAATAACTAATTGTAATCATAGTCCTAATTTTTCAAAACATTACAAATAAGTCCTAAATTCTCCATTACCATCACTTTCACAACCCCACCAAGTCACCACCTATAGATCCACATAGCACCACCTTTCGGCCACAGTACTCGTCGAACTCCACCACTACCAACTTCGCCTCACTCTCTCCAACATCCTCCTCCACAGTATTGCTAAGGATGGCAACAGCGTGAGGCGTCTGAGGCGGGGCGGGGCACGAACGGGGCAACTTTTTGCCCCGTTTAACTTTTTTTTTTTTTTTAACATTTTCAAAGTTTCAAGTTATGTTATTATTAGAGAATAAAATACAAATTCAAAATGGGTTTTTAAAGGATGAATTTTCTAGAAATAATTTTTTTTTATTTTTTCCTGCACAGGGCACCCAACCTTGCCCCGCCCCGCGCCTGCCAACCCATTTAGGGTGAGTTTTTTTGCCATCACTAAATATTGGTCACTAATATGTCCGAAACAATCACATTTAAGTCCAAAATACCAAACTGCCGTATACAACCTTTACGGCAATCCCACTTTCAGCGCCATACCACCAACAATTACCCCTCGCCTCAACGAACTTATACATGACCTCACATCAATCAAAATTGCCACAAATCATTTTGTTATAATTCTAGAACATTCGACAATGACGACATCCATTTTGCCAAACTCTTCTCTTTCAATTCATGCATCCCACTACACCAAATTCCCAAATTTGCATTAATCAAACCATCAACAAACCCAAACGTCAATGGGAATAAATTTAATTGAACAAATTATCCCCTCAACCGTTTCAATTTCTGAACCAAAACTCTTTACAGGCGCGATGCACAAATAGAGATCTCTAACCAAAATTGGTAGGTCCTAAGTACTCCAATTTTTCAAATTCGTGTGTGGAAGTACGGTGGGGGAGTAAGGCAAGATTGGTGGTGGTGGAGTCCGGTGGGCATGGTGGCCGAAAGATGGTGTTATGTGGATCTATAGGTGATTGCTTAGCAGGTTGTGAAAGTGATAGTGGTGGAGAATTTATGATTTTTTTGTAATTTTTTAAAGGACTTTGCTTAATGTACATAATTTTTGTACGTCAAGGTATCCATATCTCTCACATGGGGTGGGGCTCACATTTTTGTGAGTCATGTGGACCCCACCCCATGTAAGAGGCATGGACACATGTGGGTCCTACCCCATGTAAAAGACATGGACATCCTTATAGACAAAAATTTTGTACATCTATCAAGTACATTAAAGAAAGAAATATTTTGAGTCAATCTTTGAACTTATATACCACTTATTTCTTCTAGTTCATATCAAAAACTTTTATTGATCGAGTCAAACTTTTATATCATCACATTCACTAATGTTTTTGCATTTAACACTTGAGCTATTATTTATCGTTATTCGTTGAAGTGTTAGTCTCTTTTGTTATTAATTTATAGTTGTCTTTTATTAAGAAAGAAATTTCCTAGTAAAACCATTTTTTTAAATCTTTAGGTCATATTGAAGTCTTTTAAAGTTCAATAATATATAAGGGTTGATGTTCCTTATTTGTAAGTCACCGAAAATGTTAGAAAGGTTTTTATTGTAATATAAGTCAAGTGAAAACATCTTCCTCGTATCGGAGAGCTCAGTAACGAAGGGTATAAATCATTGATTGCGATCGAATCTCCATAAATAAGTCATTTGCATCATCTTTACTCTTTCACTTCGGATCTGTTTGATTTGTGAAAGTTTCCATGGAAAATGGAAAAAAAATCCACCTTTTTTCCTTGTATATGCAAAAATTTTCTTGGCAATTGAATTTCCACCCTCACCCCCACGTGACCCCTTTTTCTTGCTTTTGTGGAACTGCAATTCCCATGGGTATAGTAGCAAATGGCTTTTCCATTTTTTTTTTTTTATATACAATGGAAACAAATTTTATCCCTTCAATTGACAATTTTCATGGAAAATAAAACCAAACGAATACCAAAATTTCAACATTTTTCAGATGAAAAATTTTATCAATTAAATACATTTAATTGACAATTCCCAATAAAACAAGTTTTAGGCAATTCAGTTCTATATGATTCAATTTTTTTTCACCCAAATTCCATTCTTATAATCAAATGGACCCTTATATTTTACTTACGATTATTTTTTGATTAATCAAAGTATTTGTGAATTACTTTATTTGAAGTTATTTTAAAAAAAGTTTCAAAAATCAATTCACCTTCCTTTTGATTGAATATTTTCAACCCACTTTTTGTCATTTTTCTTACGAGTATACCCTCCTAAAAGAATTATTATCAAGACTACCCTAAAATGAAATAAAGCTTGGACCCAAAAAAAAAAAAAAAAAAAAAGTCTCCTCTTGAAATGAATCATTCTCCCCAGATGCTTCAAAAAGCTCAATTTCTTTCAGAACCCACTCTTCAAATCTTCCATCGAGTTCCCTCTCTTCTTATCCCTGTTATAATTGTTAATTAAGATGATTCAAAATGCGATAAAATTATTGAGTTCATATCTACAAATAATTTTCTTGTGACTAATATTTTGTTTGAAATTGATGGATGTCATCTCTTAGTGGTATTTAGTAGAGAGAATTTCGATGTATATACTCATGAAAATTTAGCTATGCAATTATATTCTTTCTTTTTTTTCATCTTATAATCAAATAGAACATGATTGACATACAAAAATTTATTCAAAGAAATAAAAAATGTCGAAAGGTTAGTCCATACACAATAGATTATGAATGTGTAAAGTACGTAAAGTCATATTCAATTGTAAAGAGTGATGGACACCTTTACCTTTTCTATATATGAATATATAAGTAATTTTATTCTTTTAAAAAACTTTCAAAACTCATAAATAATAAATTATCAAGTATGGGTTGGACTTTAAACGTTGAATAATCACCCAAAACAATACTCTCATAAATGCTCAAAACTAATACTTTAAAAAAACCCTATAACAGGAATAACTTTCTTTTATAAGTTACCACCAGCATAAAACTAGTTCCATAAGAAGATAATTTAATGCTTGTTTATTAACTTCGTTAACATTTTATCAACTTTTCAACTAATCAAATTTTAGTTTTACTCACGCATTTCATAGAATTAACAATTCTTATCAACTTTTAATCACATGTTCATCAATTTTAATATAAATATGTTAAAATGTGTTGGGAATTCACTTGATCATGCACAACATAATTTAAACAATGTTTCAATTTTTATCAAGGATCTGTTTTGCGTTTAAATAGAAACTGTGATAAAAAATTATACATTTGTTGAATTCTACAAACTCCTTTACTTTTCTTTAATTCCAACAATCACGATCTACAGTTCATAATTGTTCAATTGTCCAGCTTCTAATGAAAATCCATACAAAGAATAAGATTGAAAGAACCAAGTTTTTACTTTTCTTGTGCTAACAAGAATATGAAAAATATCTACAGTTTTCAAACTGTAGCAGCTTATTTACATAAGCCCAAACGGGCTTGATCCGTATCTAAAACTTAACCCAATTCAATATTTAATTAATCTAATTAATTAAATCTGGTCTATGAATTAATTAATACAATTAATTAATTCGAGCAATTAATAAGCAACTCAATTAATCAATTATTCAACGCTTGTCAATTAATTAATTGATAATTCTCATTTTCTAGTTCTTTTTTGTGTGTGTCTCATTAAATTCACAATCATGATACTTAACGACATGAATTGTTATTTTGATTTAATCAAAATCGATAAATTAGAACAACCCTTTAATTTATCACTAATTCACATTCATCGTCCCAAATTAACATTTAACAATGTGTCAGGGCAATATATGTGATAAAAAATATCACGTGGAATGATAAAATAAAATCAAACTTGTTTGTTTACTGTGAAGCTATAATCTCTCAAGTCGAATGATCAATTCCACTATTGAATGTTAGAAATTAACCATTGATAGAAAGGTAGTTATCCATGTGGAATCTCGTAATGGGTCTCCAATATTTTGTTCTATAACAGATATTCATGTGTTCATTTAAGTGTCACTACACTTTAATTTATAATATCAGCTATTTACTTCTCAAGTAAGAAATGTCACACGTGATGATCTATCTATAATAACGATATCCGTATTCCGTTATTATTTCGACCACTGATGATTTAAAATTCAACGATAAATAAGGGTATCTCACAATCACAATACCTTGTGATTAACAAATTACGAAAATTTGAATTTACAGATTTTATTATTTAATTTAATTTAATATTAATTAAATAATAGATCTGTCATAACATTGTATCAATTATATTTTAAAAATTTTTATGTTCAAAGTTTATTGGACTTAGAGCATAAAACTTACAAAATGTTGATCAAAAACTTTGACAAAAAAAAAAAAAAAAACCCCTTTAATTTTGAAGCGTACATTTAGAGCTTGAAATCTCTCCATTCCAAGCTAACATATTGTGGTCCAAGAACAATTCTCTTATCCATGGTCATTAGCTAAGAATGATAAACATGGGAAATTTGCATCTACACCGACCTTTTAGTTGCTTGATTTCTTTGATTAAGCCATTGTTTGATTTCTATTCTTTTAAAATTTATTTTTTCAAAACTCATTTTCAATCACATATTTTTCAATAAAATAATATCACACGTAAATTCAAAACTTTTCTTTAATTTGTAACTACACATTCTCC